GTTGGAAAAGATGCTTCATTTTAAATCTGAATAAGCTACCTTTTTTTTGTCGTCTTACCCCTTAGGAGATCATAAAAATAAATTATTTTTTCCAACTTTTTTGGCCTTTCCTGTTTTCTTCGATAACCCCTTTCAGCCCCTTAGGGGTGGCTGACAGGATTTGCCGTAGTCGTTTTGTTTTGTGGGAGTGAACCTTGAGATCCCCTGAAAATTTGCAGTCTCTAGCACATCTCCTTCTTGTGGAACAGACAGACACACAGACAGACACACAGACAGACAGACAGACAGACACGAGGTCGTTTGCATAAGCCCGCTGGATTGCATTTTCAAAGCAGAAGGGCGGGCTAAAAAACAGAAACAATCATGAAAAAATCACTGTTAAAAATATTTCATTACATTTTCATTACATGTTGTGAAGCTATTTTCATTAGAGTTTCGAAATGATATTTAATATTTAATAACTTTTTCATTACGTATTGTGGAATTTCATTACATTCTAATGAAGTTTCATTAATGACAAATTGGTGTATGCTTGTATTTATAGTACAGGACCCCTCGACGAGAATACATGTCAGAGCGACCTTGAAATTATTTAACAATGACTGTAGAATGACCACAGACGTGTGTCACACTTGTTTGTCCAGTTAAGCGCAATATTAAAAGACGCGGCAACACAACTATGATCACCTCATGCTGACTGAAGATGATGAAACTGATATCAAGGCTCTTATCAAGTTTCTTAAGCCGTGGAAACTTGAATCTGAGAGGGTCCAGGGTGACAAGTACCCAAGCCTTCAATTTGTTATGGTTGCTACGTAAAAACTAATGGACTATTCACGGCCAAATGAAAGAGACAATTTTAAAATAGCACATTTACGAGCCCGTGCAGCGCAACTGCTCTAAAAGAAGTTTGTCCCAGATGAACTCCACAAAGTTGCCACATTTTTGTGGTCTGACTTCCGGCACCTGCTTATGATAGAGTCCGATGATAGAAAGAAGGTACAGTTGTGTGTCCCATTTCTTGCACCGCGCTCTGGTTGAAGTTATGCAGCACTACATAACCGTGTTTCCAAAATTTGTCACAGGTCTTTGATGCTGCCATGAAAATGATGGACGCGTTTGACAAAACTGACGAGACTGAGACTACAGTCCCTCAGAAACGACAACGAATGGACGACGGTTACGACAAGTGGCGATCGAGCACAGAGCCAGAAGACAGGGAAGACTACGACGAAATTGAGGCGTACCTTACGGCAACACTCCCATTTGTCCCAGGAGCGGATATGCTAAAGTTCTGGGAGAGAGGGGTAACACAGTGAGTTGATAACCCTAAAATACGTCGAAAGCTACTTGTTTGTCCGTTTTTGAGAGACAGTGGAGTCAAAAAGTCGATTCTAAAGACAATCACACATAAAGGTTCGAATTTAAAAACAAGTAGGAAAAGAAACCTTCATGTATTCTTCACAAACGCATGATTAAGAACATGGGACTAAGACCGTCGTTTTCGACTACTTCAGGGTTGTAGATATGCCGGTTGTATCCGTTCATGTGTCTTGGTGCCATCGGAAAGACAGGCCCACAACACTTCGACACATGTTGTTGTTCATATGGAGTCGAAGTCTTATGAATCCTATAGAGCTGTGCTGCTATACCTTCAAGAATTGATTCCACACTTCAGACCGCGCCTTGTAATGGCTGACTTTGAGCCAGCACAACAGACAGCCTGGCGTGAAGTGTACCGTGTGAATGTTAGGGGATGTTACATTCACTATGTGAGAGTAAGTGTGAAACCATTTAAGAAGCATGCACCTATAGTTTAACTTTTCTGAATTTGAAAAACAATCTTTACTTATACAGAATGTAGGAAGAAAATGTAAGAAGTATGGCATCACAAAACGTCTCCTAAGGAATGAACCTGAGCTGCGGTCCATATTTCGGTCGGTATTTAACCAGGGATTGTACTAAATTCCCTTATTTGATTCCTGAATATTTTTGTTTATTGTCTCAGATTCTCTGAAGAGCTATGAGCATGCAGCCTACACAGATGTTAATGCCTTTCTTAGAGGTCAGGCCTTTGAAAGGCCTCGTCCAACTGTGACACTGAGAAATGATGAATACATAAACAACTTCACCATTGATCTTCTGAACCAACAGATATCTATTCGTAGATTCCTGCGTATGACATCTGCCCGGGTGTTAGGGCTGTACAACAACATGAACATGTAAAAGATGGAACCTTCAGGTTCTCCTCATTTGGGATGCCATGCAAACCAAAATAATGACACTTAAGATTAGAATGTTAAAGTTTAGATTAGTTTTTTTAAAAGAAACCTCATTGCATTACTTGGTTTTGTTTTCTAAATTACTCTTATTTAATTTTAAGCTTCCTATTTGTGTTGTTGGTTTTTGACATGTGTATCATACATATAGTTCTACAGAATTATTTCTTTCTATTAACTTGTAAATGATCTTTTAATTTAAAAGTGGTAGCAAGCCTGCAGAAACAAACCATCCTAAAATGAGACTTCTATTCTACATGACTCTCAGCTTTCTATTTTTAATCTGCGGCTTAAATTGAATACTTCTTACTTTGTGTTAACTTCTGATGTACCTGTATTTAACAGTGTTCTATCTTTAGAGTAATCAAGAGTTTAGATGCTGTGTCATTTACACTAGCTACTCGTTATTTTAAGTTTTTGACCATTGCTTTTGTCAATGTTTAATGTTCAATGTTGGAAAAGATGCTTCATTTTAAATCTGAATAAGCT